CCCACGCATGCTACTTGAAGCGTCTCTCGCGCGAGCTTGTTTATTAGACGTGCTGCATATGCGGCGTGTGCTTGTGGGTCCGGGATGCTGAACCGAGAGGGGTCCTGCAGACGACATCATCGCATGGTGGTCATGTCGGTCGACTCCGAGCTGTCCAAGGAACGACCCACCTTGACAATGCTGCTCTCCCGAACTGCGGGTAGTCGTTTAGGTTGCCCTCTGACCCGCGTGCACGTCATTGCGAGGGGGTCCAATGAACGCACCGCCGTGAAGAAGGGTGCGCAGGCGAGATGAGAATGATGCGGGGTATGCGCCTCGTTGGTTACACGACAGCGCGCATCGAGGTACGGGCTGCTCTGACGTCCATGGTCGAATCTTCATCTGCCCGTGAGTAGTGCCGACTGCGGGACGTATGTACAATAAGGTAGTATCAGCGCGTATCGCGACGTGGAGCAAAGGGCGATTGATAGTCAAGCAGGGTCCGGTCGACAGCGGCGGCTATGCTCGGCTTCCCGCTCAGGGACAGAGGGCAGTGCTGCATGCACGCAATCATGTCCCGCAACACCCATGGACTTCGTGGGGCTTCACTCCATGTGCTGTTGTAGCTCGTGCTGAGAGGCATGGCGTTCGTCATCTGGTGCGAGAAGGAAGTCGGTTGTTGCGGTTACCACACGCCTTCCCGAGAGTCTGCCCGTCTGCGGCGCGAAAATATCGTCTTCGCTGCCGTGCAACTCAGTCATTGTTTTTGGCGTAGATCAGGTACCCTCGAGCACAAGATAGATTGGGTGCGCGTCTGGTTGCAGCGGCGGCATGGAGACTGGTCGTTGCCCGCATACGAGCACGGACGATCCCAAGGCTTGCTTGCAGCTCGTCGAGCGCTGCATGACACCAGCAACAAAGGGATGCACTATTGTGGCTGCTTCTGACGTCCCATCCGCATTGTTGAAGATGACATGCTCTGCTCGCCGCTGACTATTGTTTTGCCGCCGGCCACAGAGCCAATCTCCCAGCATCATGGGCGCGCCGTCGTGGAAAATTCTCGGGGTGCCTCATCGAGTCACCACACCCGGATATCAGCTCCACTCTTGCCCGTCGACTCACATAAAGCGTTGATGCTTCCTGAAAACCACCGGTCCACTCCGCCAGCATCAACAGCTGCCTCTCCACTGCCTTTTGACCGGGTTCTGTCCCACGCCTTCACAATCGACGTCAGCAGCAGCATCCGCTCTACGCGCAGGACCGATTCCTGCGTCCAGCCGTCTTCCAGGCGTCCATTCCCGTCCAGTGTGCCACCCCACGCGCCCATCTGGCCCCGCGCATTGCGCACTCTGCCCTGAAATCCAACTATAAGGTTCATCCACCTGTACCATCCGTGAGCCTCCCAGCCAATTAGACAAGGGTTACCTGCATCAATCCCCACGCCGCATCTTTTACCCCAGACTCACGGCATCTTGTCCTAATCCACGCCTCGAGGTCACATACAGCAGCTTCCAGACCGTGCCCTGCAATAGTGTCACCTCTACGCATGCCATCGGTCCGTAACTGAATCGGTACGATTGCTTACAGCACCTTGTGTCATATACACCCGAGGTATCCAGGCGCCACACATCCTGCTCTCCAAGTTACACATCTCCGGCTTGTGGGATGAATTTCGGCTTCAAAAACAATACTTCGCACTGGCCCGTTGGACAAGAACACATCAACCGATAGTCTGGTCAGATCCCCCGCATTTTCATCTGTGGCTGCACGCCATCATCGCGATCTTAAGGCTCTCGGAATAACGATAAGCTTGCTTTTTCTACGGTTTCTGGAGGCTCCACGGACCTCTTAGCAAGCCTCGTCAAGCTTGACTTGCCGAATCGGAAAGTGATCCCGAATCCAGCTACCCACGGGCACGCGAGCGATCGTCATCGAAAACGCCTATTCTTATCTATTTTTTGTGGCACGTAATGGACTCATCTTTGACACTGCTCAGTGCGAATATCCGTATTCTGGTACGTGGGCCTTCCCCTCATCATGCGTTCTGCTGCATTGCATGGTAGCAAAAGTGTCCGTGTCTTACACCGGAGAGAGCCTTGGTGGCGGGTCCTTCATGCACGACATAACGGCAGGGCAACTCTTATAATTCGCCTCCCACACTGAAATTTTCTCTCCCATGGACATCAGCTAACATGATCACCTTCAAGGATACCCAACTCGCTCTCATACACATTCCGTTGCCTCTGTATCGCAACTTTCTCCAGTCCATTCTTCAACTAGTTCTGCCCAATGCGACGCGCAAGTCTTACGGGAACGGCTCTGGCGCCGTGCAGCCGCCCAAAGGCTGGCCCTGCGAACATCCCTTTGTGAATATCTCCATTACACCAGTCGAGTGCTCCATAGTATGCTCGAGGACGCTTGCGAGTGAACTATTTCTGCCTGTTCTCAACTTGCTGGATCCTGAGTCAAGAGCGTCTGTCAGTATTACCACAGATGACTATGTCGTAATGCAAGTCGATGGCGAGGGGCTTGATGCAGGACAACGTGTCTTAGAGCTGACAAGTCCTCTTGCTCTGGCTGGAATGTAAGTAGACGCCATCACAAGGCTTCCGCACAAGGCTGACTAGATTCCAGTCCTATATTCTTCATCACGACTTACTTCTCCGACTACATCTTGGTCCCACTGCGACACCGATCGCAGGTCGTACAAGCGCTAGAAGAGCGTGGGTTCCAGTTCGAAAAAGACACTTCCTCATACGTCAACTCCTTCCAACATGCCCGCAAACACTCAGCCGCGTCACTGGAAGTTCAGCCGCCCAGCACCCCTCCGCCAACCACAATTTCAGAGCTTCAAACCAGGACCTTCGCTACACTCAAGCGTCGTCACATCGTTCCCACGGTGGATACGAGCATCCGGCTCGTGCAGTGCGCCGGTCGACGCGACAGTACAAATGGCATGTCTCAAGCTCGAAACCGCAACAGCATGACGACAGCCGCCGACGACGCACTCCACCTCGGTCTCGTAAAATGCCTCATCACGCAGCCATATCCGAAATTTTTATCGCTCACACTAACTGATACCGAGTCTGCCGCGCTGTTGTTGGACGAAACCCTACTACCACATTTCGCGCACGATACTCTTCTAGGCTCCAGAGATGAGTTCTTGACACCCATCACCTTGGACCTGCGAGGTCTGCCAATGGAAAGCACCGGTATCGTGTGCGGTGTAGCTGGCAGATTAGTCGGCGAAACCACCGGGCAACTGGAGGATCCTGTTGAGATGAGTTATTTGAGCACCGCGCGTGCTGGAACCGTCATGGTCGCTGAGCAGGAGCTGGACCGTGCACTTGATGCTCTGCACGGCGCTGAAAATGGTGTCTTGTCGGCAGATGAGTAGTCGTGCTCGTGTGGGAGTGCGGCGCAATTCCTTTTTGGCTGTGACGACCGGTGCTGGCTGAATCGAGGTCGCTTGCGCCTGCCAAGTATGCGGGCTTTACTTCCCACTCGGCTTGCGTCGGCTCCTTTCTTTTACTTCGCGACGAACAACGTCGCTACGATTTTCGCATTCGCTGTATAGGATAGGATTTGGCGACTGGATCAAAAGTTATCATTTATGCGTACAATCAGTAGCTGTGTAAATGCGCGACGTAGCGTCTTCGCCCTAACATCGATTTGTGCAAGTGGCCGCACGCATACCTCACGCCCGCGTGCTGCAAGGCAAGAGCGCCCCGCCGCTGCACCTCTCTTTCCCTACTCACATGTCGTCGATATGCACGGCGACGTTCCTCGAACTTCTAGTTTCCATGGGTAATCTTGTTGGTTCACATGGATGCATGAGGGATGTGTCAGCCATCCCTTCTCACCAATCATCATCGAGTAGCTCTTTTGGCCCCCATTGCGGCTGAGGTTCGACATGATTCAGCTCAATCTCATCACAACGAGCAGCGATGTTCTCACACTTCGAAGGATATGTCATTACTCTACTAAAGAAGATATTATTCCAACTACAGCGTCGCTACGAAGACTGGAGGTCGACTGCGAGCGGCCTCCTCATCACACGTGTCTATGGCTACGCATTCGCCACTGGCCTTTGTGGAGAACAAAGCCGCACCTGTGAGGCTGATTGAAGTGACCAGCGATGGCCACGCAAGGAGACTGGATGTAACCGAAGACTTGATCGAGGGGTATATTGAGAAGGACTTCTCGGCAAGTTACACAGGCTTCCAACGTAGATGCATGCTAACACGAGGAAAGACCCATGGTAGCAGGACCGAGCAGCCGGCAAATGTGGAAAGTATCAAGCTCTTGTGAGTAGACACGTTTGCCTGTACCGACGCTGCGGTGCTGATGCATGTTAGCTGGTCGAGGCGCGTGGGAGAGTACAATGGCAATATGACACCCGTGCCGTTATCGTCGCATACCTTTGGGCGTATAGCTTCATTTGCCCGAATACCAGAGATTTACGCACGAGTCTTGGACTACAGAGTGGCGACATACGTCTTCGCCAACCCACAATTACCTTCACATCTCGCGCGGATTCCGCCGAAAGAGATGCGAAACAGATATTTGAGTAAGTAGTAGAGTTACGCACCTGCAAGAACGCTACTGACACAAGTACCATAGGTTTCATCTTACAGTCTGTACCCGGTGCTATGTTCCATGTCTGTATCAGCGCTTCTTTCACATACGACTTCTCAACCAAACACATGTACATCTTTATGCATGGCCTTGCAAGCAACAACTACGATCGATTTGCGAACGTAATTCAAAAAGGAGCTTCTAGCACGTCTGCGTTTCTTCTCCCAAGTATCATCGTGCGTTTCAATCTTGAGCAGCGAGTAAAAGCATTGAACCTTTGGCAAGATAAGATCTACTGGCACGAGCGAAGAGTAGGCATTCGGTTTGACCACCACGATAACCCTGAGCTTTCCAGTATCGATTTCAGCACGCTATCGAAAGACCTCAATGCCGCGAACACAAATCTCGCTTACGCAATGTGGTCTTGTAAAAGTACTACACGTATGCTCGACTTTCTCGATCAAGTCGCAAAGAGGTACAAACAGCAAGCCGTTGCAAACAAGATACCTGAAGAAGATGCGGCTGAGATGGAGCAATTACTCGTCGATACTCATGCACAGATGCGATCTTGGAACGCGGGCCTCGAAGATCGTGCGGAATATCTCTCCAAGCGAGGGCAAGCTCTCGTACAAACTGTGAGTAGCATATGGACTTTGTGTTCAATCTCCTAACATGGTTTATCAAGGTTTACAGCGGCATTGCGCAACGTGATTCGGCGATAAGTCTTAAATTGGCGAGCACGAGCACGAGTCTCGCACAGTCGTCACAAAGCATAGCGCTATCCACTTCACGCGACAGTAGAGTCATGAGAATCATCGCCGCCATCACCGTGTTTTTCTTGCCAGCAACCTTTACTGCCGTGAGTTCATAGCATAGTGCAGGATGTTATACTTGCAGATCTAACACTTCGTAGACGTTCTTCAGCACCACCTTCTTCGACTTCAAACCAGATCAAGACGACAAGGTCTACTCACAGTGGATCTGGCTGTATTTCTTGGTAACAATCATCTTGAACTTGACTGTGTTCTTTGGCACATGGTATGTGTGGCGAAAGAAAGAGCTCGAAATCATGGCATCATTCAACTCAGCAGAGAAAGAGCCAAAAGTCCAGATCGTGGAAACATCTGTAAGTAGACTTGATATTGAGACTGCGCAGTATGTTGAGCAGGAGATCGGTCACGCGGCACCGGGGGTGAAGTCGCACACGAACTCGAGATTTGATCAACCGAGCCAGCGACAAACACGTTACGCCAAAACAGAGACAAACGCATAGCGAGAGCGAGAGGAATTCGGAACACCTCTTACCGGATCAAAACTAAACAGGCCTAGATACTAGCACAAGTAGGCAATCTAGCGTCAACGTGGGCTCTGAGGTGTTCATCGTTTTCCTAGGTCAACGTGGAAGAGCAATCGAAGACATGCATTGAAAAGGTCATACAAAATTCCCCTCTCTCTGATCCGCATCCTCCTCTGGAACCGCATATCACAGTCTCAACCACGTCCATACGCAGTCAGATACGCCTTACTATACGCCGGGTCATTCACGCGCAGCAACGCAAGCTCAAGAAGTCTTTGCGCCCGCGCGATAGCCACGACAGCCTTCATAACAGGATCCCGCTTCAAACAACGACTACCAGGGTCTACATTCTGGCAAGCATCGTCTACCGCGGCATAAGCTTGGGTGAGCGATTCTTGCGCTTCCTTCACCCAAGCGCACTGGTATGCACGGTCGCCATGTGGAATACCGCGTTGGATGTAAAGAACCTGGGCATCCAACTCATCGATACCAAAAGCTCCTTGCGCCATGACCTCGTCGACGCATCGAATGAGTTGCTCCTCGGGAATGGACTTAGGAGCTTCCGGCACGTCGTATAATGAGAGCAGAACTAAAGGCTTGGGCGATGAATCAGCCTCATGGTCGGTGTCGCATGGTGGTTTGGAACTGGTGGCTACATCGGAGGTACTTGCTGGACTGTCTTGGTCGTATTCTTCGTATCTGACGTTAGGACTGAAGCTTACCCGTCGCGAGTGACTGGCCTTGGGGCCTTTCACATGTGTCTTGTGATATGGATCGGCTGCCCTCTTTGCCAGGCGTGTGAATGTGTCGTGTCGATATAAAAAGGCCTCTAGAGTGGTAGTTGGCGGCCCACCTCGTGCGCGGAGTCCATGGCGTCCTTCGATTTGCGCCGTGTTTGGTGGCCTATTCTTTGACGGTTCGGCAGCTATCGTCGTGACACTAGTCTGGGTACCGATATGACAGACTTTGTTACCCTCTAATAAAGTGCTTTTTTCTACCGATTTGGACTGGCTATACTTCGATAGCCCGGCAGTTATCGGCGGGACACTGGTCGATGTATCGTTGACACTGGCTTTGTTCTCATCCAACAGCTTTGTTCTTACTGGCATAGCCTGACCCGACTCAGAAGGCTTACTGTTCGTAACACTAGTGGGTGAACCGATAGCACCAGTTTTCTTCCCGTCCAACACATCGCTCGTCTCTGCGGATTTGGGCTGGCTAGGCGGAGAAGGCTCAATGCTCGTAGCAGCATCCTTCTTTACTTTCTTTACCACACCTAAACGGCATAGCCGCTTGATTGACTCCTCCAGGGCGAATGAAACAGCTGCCTGTGGGGTCTTCGGCTTTGCAGAGCGGATGTCGGCGTCGATTTTGCTAGCTAACTCTGCTCGCTCTTGATGCACGAGACTTTCCTGCATGAAATCAAAAGCAATCGGATGCAGAGCCAAAATAGTCTTGCCACTGCTTTTCGAAAGCACATAGCTGCGGAAATTCGGCTTGGTTCGAGCTTCTTCGATAGTGGTTTTGAGAGACCATGTCTGGACGGTCTGGGACTGGTTGTCCATAGTTGCAGAAAGGGCGCGGATGGGTTGAGGTTTGTTGAAGGATGGTGAAAGAACAGACCGAGGCTGAACAGTGGTGGCCGAAGGTCTCCTGAGTAGAGGCAATTTGGGACTCGATGGTCAGTTGAGTTGGCTCTCATAACAGTCAGGTGAGGTTTATGGCTGTTCGGAGTGCAGACTTGTAGACCGTGCCACCCCCTGCCATATCACATTCTTGTTGAAGCGCAAACACGGATTTTCCGCGCCACGATCCAGCGACGGGGGGTGATTCACCAAGCTTTAGGGTCACGGATCTTATTCCCTGCTTTCACAGCAATGGAACTGATAGCGGTGAAATGTCAACGACCTTATCAGGAGTCAAGCCCAGGTGATGTGGACAATACCCTCATAGCATTACGCATCTTTTCGCTGCGACTCGTCCAAGATCAATACGGTGGGTCCAAAATCCTGCTCCTCGAGCGTATCACTATTGATTCCTCTCCTGATGTTCTCGTTCTGAGCTTCTTCTTCCGTGGCAAAGCGGTAGCAACGCGTCTCAGCCAATCCAAAGCGCTTGCCCTTCACGAGGAAAGCTTTGATACCTCGATGCGTGATGATGGCGATGTTGCTACACGTCGCGGAGTGATCTTTCAGCCTTCTTCGCACTCGCTCAGCACGCATAGTAGCCGCTTCAGTGCTATGCTCGGGATAGTCCCACTCTTCATTGCACTCGGAGAAGTCAAATTGGGGAAAGTTTGACGCTAGCTCTTTTCGCGACAAGCCCTTGTTGCAGACGGCATCGTTGGCTTCCCGAAGATCAGGCCAGATCTGAACGGGTATGTGAAAGGAACCTGCCTCCGTCAAGAACGGAAACATGTTTATCGCAGTTTGTATGGTGCGCGTCATGGGCGAGATGAGGATCAGATCTGGCTGGACTGAGAGATTGACGCGTTTGGTGGAGACATTGCCGGCTTTTGTCAACGGCGGATCTCGGTGTGGATAGCCGCGCTGAACGTTGTGCAGTGCCTCGCCATGGCGTATGATATGTACACGCGCTGCCATGATGTTCTTACAAGTAAGTGGATGACGCGGGTGTTGAACGTAGGAGCACTGAAGACCGCCGCTCAGGGTTATCGATAAGAAGGCCTGAAGCTTAGCATCGCTTCAATCTTCGAAGCTCCGCTCCTGCGCGCTCATCTTCCACGTCATTGCACATATCGTCGTCAACTTCCTTTCTGAACGCGCTCCGGAGCTACTGGCCAGAATAATGGATTCGCTGCTTCTCTATCACATGCCCGAGGAATGCAGCTGCAGCTGGGCCCCCTTCGACGGCGCATGAACTTGTTCAGGAGATGGCGGCACCCACCGTCATCGATGCCAAGGTCGCCGAACGATCTCCGCTATCGGATGTTGCATCGATCTGCATCTGATAAGATGAGATTGATAAAATTCCCCACCACCTACTCCGCTGGAGCCAATCGCGAACACCGCACGTACGACGTCAACCTCTTTTTTAGGCAGAATGCTCGTACTGCGACAAGGTATAAGAAAACTCTGCGAGTGTCTATCGGCCGTAGCATTCGTGCAGTGCCCTGATGCTGATGGGTACGCGATGTGTTTTCGAGGCGTGCCGTGGGGCTTATAAGAAGCAAATGAAGGACTTTCATACCCTCAACATCTAAGCTTCTGCGGTGCTTTTCTCTGCCCATCACACCATGCGGTTCTCTGGCGTCGTTCTCGCCTCGCTGGCGTCCATCCTTGTCCATGCGCAGAACAACACCAATACAACCTCATCCTGGCCATGGCAAACCTTCAAATCTCGCCCGGGTTTCGAGCCCCCAGTACTTTCGGTCAACAAAACTGGTGACACAGCACCAGGAGTTATTACTTTCCCTCAGAGTGGAGGTGGGGCTCACAACTACAGTCTGAACATCTTCCAAGAAGATGGCGAGTTGGTTTGGCAATCTGGCTACGGCGACTACGCCGCCTTCAGAGTTTCTGAGCTCTTCGGCGAACCCGTACTGGCCTACTTCAGTGGCATCTCTCTCACAGAACCTTGGGGTTTCGGGTATGGAGTAATCTACATCCTCAACCAGCAATACGAGAGCATCTACAACGTCACTCTCTGGAACGAAACATACCCACTTGAGAGCATCTACCCGCTGTACGATCCTACCCAGTACCAACCTTTCAGCTGGGTTGATATGCACGAGAATCTTATCACGCCTGAGGGTACGATGTTCATTGCCGCTGTGAATGTCACGCCATGGGATTTATCATCCATCGGCGGCCCAAAGGATGGGTGGGTTGTGGATTCCATTGCGCTCGAGCTCAACGTTACGAACAGCGAGATCCTTTGGCAGTGGAGCCATCTTGACCACGTGGACGAAGTCTCGCTCGAAAGCGCTGTGCCAACGTATCCGCTTGGTGAGCTAGGCAAGAACAGCAGTTACCCTTGGGGCCCTTTCCACATCAACTCCATCGAAAGATTTGAGGATGGAAGTTACTTGCTCTCTTCAAGGCATTACTGCTCCATCTACAAGGTTTTCCAAAACGGCACCGTGGCATGGACTTTGAACGTAAGTTCTCATCCCAGTTCCCATCCTTCCGACGGTACGCACTAGTGGTGAGCGCCATGCTAACGAGACCCTAGGGACACTCCGGTGGCGACTTCGCCCTTGAGAATGGTCTTTCTTTCTGCTACCAACATGACGCGCGTATTCATCCGTCTCGTTCGCCCAACACCACCACCATCTCTCTGTTCAACAACGACAACAGCGCCGTTGTACCTAAAGTCAACGAAACTACCGGAATATTCCTCTCCATCGATGAGCGCACGATGACTGCGACATTGCTACAAGAACTCGCTGACCCAGACGATGTCATCTACTCAGTCAGTCAAGGCAACATGGAAGTTCTCCCCTCCAACCACTCTATCATGGGATACGGCAGCGTCCCGGCTCTGAAGGAGTTTGACCAAGATGGCGATGTTGTATTGACTGTGAAATGGGGAGAACCAGAGAAGGTGCAGAGCTACCGCGCTTACAAGGCCGAGTGGGTTGGTAAGCCGAGCACCAAGCCTGATGTGTACGCCTGTAAGGCGAGCAACGGCACAGAGGTCTACATGAGCTGGAATGGTGCCACTGAAGTTGACACGTGGTCTGTATTTGGCGGTGCATTCAACGGAACCCTTAGCAAGGTCGCCAGTGTTGAGAAGTCTGGTTACGAGACCAAGACAGTCGTGGGTCATAAGCTTGGGTTCGTGAGGGTAGAGGCAAGTGGCGAGGAGATTGAGACTGGTGTCTCGCGTGTCGCAGCGGTATCGGAGATGTGCTAGGCATCATGTGAACGATGGAAATAGTAATCGATGCATTACGCATCTGTATCTATAAATCGCCACTTCATAGTACTCTCAGCCTACCATGGGTAGCCTCCTGTATTATGAATAAACTTTCCACATTCCTCGTCTCTCTTGCCATCAACAAGCTCCATAATGCTCTTCACGGTGTCCTCCGCACTCCTCGCACCAAACTCCACCTTGTTGTAAGGGCCTAGATTGGAAGCTGTGAAGCCAGGGTCATAGCAGAAGACCTTCATTTTGACATTGTCTGCCTCTTTCGCAGCATCAGCATCGCCCTCCCCAGCTTTCTCGAAGTCCACCTGCGGTATACCCAGCCCAAACTCCACATACATACACGAGCTGATCATGTTGAAGGCGACCTTGCTGGCGCGGTATGGGACGGCTTGGATTCTGTACATCGGGCTTTCAGTGGAGAGACGACGGCCAATTGATCCAGCACCTGACGAGATGTTGACAATGCGCGGGTTCGCGCTCTTCTTCAGCGACGGAACTAGGGCGTTGGTCAGAAGCCATGGACCCGTTGCGTTCACGTCGAAAGCCGTTGCCAAACGTTGGCGCTCCGTCAAGCCTTCGGGCAGCGCGACTGCAGCATTGTTGAAGAGGATGTCGAGTTTGCCGTATTTCTCCTCGATAAGCGTTGCGGTTTGCGCGATGTGGTCATCATTCTGCAAATCAAGATGCAGAAGCTCGATGCTGCCAGAAAGCTTGCGTGCTTGCAGGTCTTCGAGGGCGGCTGACCCTTTCGTAGTCGATCGTGAGGCAAGGAGGACGTGATATTGACCCCGCTTGAGGAGCTGGTGAGCAATCTCAAATCCGATGCCGCTGTTCGCCCCGGTGACGAGAGCAATCTCTTTAGCGATGGACTGCATTGTGAGTAATGTGAGGATGTGGTGTGACCAAGGGAGGAAGAGAAGTGTCGCAGTGACTTTAAGATGGCTTAAGATGGGCTTAAAGCCACAGTAATATATGTTTCCTACCTTCGTGGGAGTTTGGCTGCCGCCGGACTTACGAGCTCAAAATCCGCAATGATGCGCTGCAGTCGGCCTAGCGGTCGTGCAGCAGTCGTGTATGTAACCGGTGTCTATACATTGAAACGGTCATTCTACGACTAGTCAACCTTCTCGAGCGGATGAGAGTAGGCCAGGCCGGACTATCTGGACGCCTAAAGGCTTCAAGCCAGCGTTGGAGGCGCGGAGTACAGGTTTTGCACTTTCAATCGCCGGCGCTAGCATCGAAATGGATTAGAGGAATTGCACAAGCACCACCCGTGCGCTGTGAGCGTCATCAAGAGCTGGCACGCTGGAAGCATCGTGGAAGAGTCAGAATCGCTTAATTCGTTTTGCCAAGTATTGAATGCCATGCAAGTATCTAGAATCCCTCGAATGTATCGCTACCTGACCTGCACTGCAATGCCATCATCACCCCGGATTTGCGGAGACAACGAATCGGCTCGCAACTCTCTCACTGCGACATCCGGGGACTTCAGCCAATCCTGCTGCACCAAACCTCTCCCACGCTCGGTCATCTGAAGATGTGGTAGCTCCTCCCGTAATGCGGTGATGCCACCCTTGACGCTACTTGCTGAGATAGCTTTGGCGCGGAGCACGCTCGTCGCGACGCGGGCCGTATCACCACCGTAGCAAACAACATATACATCTTTGCCAGCAAGGTCATGCGCACTAATGCGCTCGCTTGTGAATGTTGATTCCAACTCTTTCCATTGCTTCTCGAGAACCGCGGCATCCGAGAACGGGCTCGGTGTGGAGGCATTCAGGCTTTGTAGCGGTAGGTTGTACGATCCTGGGACGTGACTGGTGACGAAGTCCTCTGGCTTCCTCAGATCAAGCAGGACAGCACCGTTGTTTTTCTCGACGGATTCGGCAAACTGCGATAGCGCTCGTGTAGGTGTGAGTTCCCATGCTTCGTCGTAGCGGTACAGATCGACTGCGGTGAGATTCTGCAGTTATGTTAGCTATGTTTGACAAAGCGCGATAGCATGAGGGCCAGCCGCGAAGATACCGAAGGAAAAAGCGCCTCTTACCTCGTTGTGTATAGGTCGAAAAGCGGAATCTCCAAGCTTGTCGAAATATTCATCGATGTACTGATATGGGCCATCGCAGGCCACGAACGCGCAGTCGATGATGCCATTGGTATTGGCGAGGTCGGATAATGTGCCGTCGCTCTTTCGTTTTCCGAGATAGTTGAACAGCCCTAACAATGTTAGCGGCTATACTTGTAGTTTCAAATTGTCCCGCTCACCCTGCAAATTGAACCCTGAGGATGGACCACAGATCAAACCCGCGCGGCAAAGCGCCAGGGATAGACTGAAAGCGTCCTTGGAGCCCACTTCCTCAATGGCATCCACGGAGTCGCGCCATGGGAACTCGACAGGGCTCAGAAGAGCGAGAGATCTAGGTCCTGGAACTCGATCACCGGCGGCGGTGCACACGCTGGGCTCTTGGTCAGGCTACATCTCCATAAACTGTGAACATGTATCGACTCACCCTAATCGTACCACAGACGGCTTGGCTGACTTGAAATATTGGCCGAGCCCTGTCATGGTCCCAGACGTACCCATGCCCGCGCACATGAGACGAATGTTGGGTAGTTGTTGATGAATTTGCGGTCCGGTCCATTTGACGTGCGATTGCCAGTTCTGGAGAAGTTAGCCTGTGTCGCGTCGACTAAAGCCGATGGGGTAGCTTACTGCGTCGTTTTCGTATTGATTGACGTTGAGGATTGCTTCGTCCTTTTCGGCCATGGTTCTAGCTCGATGTATGCCGCCCCGTTCGTCGTGTGGTTCTGGTTGTGAAGGACCACCAAAGAGCGTACTGCCAGTGGGTTAGATGGCTTCGAGACACGAATGATTCCTGCTCGTACATGTCCAGTCCGAAGAATTGCATGAGCCTGAGTTTTGGAGCCGAAGTCTTGTTACTCAAGAAGGCGCGAACATCTTGTATCCCGTGGTTGATACGAGAGACCAAGGCCAGAGATATGACGGTAGATCCTGAACTGTACTCGACTACTGTCGTGGACTTCTCCGGATGGACCTCTTTGGTCAACATGTTCAACGCTGGCGTCGCATTAGCAATGTGAGATGCTGACTACGCTCTTCTAATTCGCACATACCAGGCATGATCTTGACATTGTTCGAGGGATGCATAGACATCATCTTCGCATGTATCCTAACACCATCGTTGTAGTACGGGTTCAAGCTTGGCGGGATCTCAACGAGAGGAATCATTGGTGTGCGGTCGGGGTCGAAGTAGTTCTGGAGAGCATCTGGCCCCGAATAAGCGTTCAAGTAATTCCGTGAGACCATATTGAAGTGAGCAAGAGTTGTACGAGATAGTACGAATGCAGCCCAAGCGCTGGAACGGACTGCTCTTTAACTGAGCGCTTTCGCGGTGACACATCGGAGCCTGCCTGTCGAAGTCGATATTGAACCAAATGATCTACAGCACCGGGATATTTTTGCGTGGGCATCATGCAACATGCAACGATGAAGGTGCTCATCGGTGTCACTTCATGGGTGCTAGTGCTGGGTCGAAGATCAATCCCGAAGTGGGACTCGTACGGTAGGATTCCCGCTGCGGCCATGGGAACGTCCCGCATCAGCCAAGAAGTGTTACTTTAATTTACGGGCAAGAGCGCAACACAGAAGATGACGTGAGAGGGCTCATTGGACGGGATGGTGATGGTCGTTGATGGCTTCGAGGCACATTGAGGCACATTGAGCACATTGATGGCGGCGAGTCAGGACGAGACGCGCTTGTGCTAGTGTGTTTTCGTACTAGCGTTGACGCGACATGGGCCACCCCACGGGTGTTCTGGAGTTCTGAATGTCACAAACCTCACCATGCGTCTGACTGACACGACGACAAGGTATGAGAGAATATTTGACGTGCATATGTCGCAATTCTTTACCGAAGCCCGCCCCTGCGTGGAGCACACGCGTATAGTCGCCCTTATTGTACTCAACAGCGTTCCCGGTGAGCGCGCCACGAACTGGACCTGCTGCGACACCCGTTGCTTGTTGCAAATTGCTGGTAGCTGCCAGTCATAGTACCTGGGCATACGAACATCTGGCATCCAACAGGACCAAAGAAGCTAGGGCACGAGCGTAGACGCTTACGCATCTAGTTTGCATCGCGCACTTTGCAAGGATGTATTCGGCTCCTTGCGTCTTACGTCTTCGGAAGTATACACAAAGTGGAAGATCAACTGATCGGCGTGGATGGGCCGGGTTGAGTACTACATGTCAGATTGCGGTCCCAGACTGCGTTGGCATCTGCACCAACGTTGTCTCCACCGCTTCAAATCGTAATCATATCTGTCGAGCTCGGCCCGTGTTGAGTCGTGCTATTCTTTAATCAAGCCATCCCAAGACACCACAGACTTCGTGAATACGAAATAGCGAACATCTCTGAACCATGGCGACAAAAGCTCAGCCCCGGGCTGCGATGAGCACACCGGAAAAATCACCTGCAGAAGCCTCCTCTGTTCAGGCGCCAAAACAGCCTCCAGAATTCAACGAACAAACCAGTACGGTATGCGCAGATGACATTCCGAATTTTGCTAACTCCATACTTCAAAGACTATGTACCAGTCAAGACGATCATCACGGTGGGTACTTACCCGGCTATTCTTCCTTTCGGTACTTACGTATCAGCAGATTTTCCTTGCTTGCGCGAGCGTCGACTTGTTGGCCTTGATGGATCAAACAACACTTGCAGCTAGCTTAACCATCGTCAGCAAGGATCTCAACGCCAGTAACGAAAGCGCGTGGATTGCAGGCGCATACTTTCTGACGTCCACGTCATTCCAACTCCTCTACGGGCGGCTCTCTGACATTTGGTCCCGCAAGGTGCTCTTAGTTATAGGCATTGGCATCTTCTTTCTCGGCTCGCTAGCTGCTTCCTTGGCAAAGTCCGCTCTGCAGCTGATCGTCTTCCGTGCATTCATGGGCGTCGGAGGTGGCGGCCTCATGACGGTTGCGCAGATGATCGTATCGGACATTGTGCCTCTTCGCGAGAGGGGAAAGTATCAGGGTATACTCGTAAGTGACGTTACAATGCGTTCTGTGGCATACCGCTCACTTCATGTCAGGGCTCTGTTGTAGCTCTGGCGAATGGCATTGGGCCAGTGATAGGTGGTGCACTCGCTTCCCAAAGCCATGATTCTTGGTATGGACACCCTACTGACATGCAGTCAAAACAAGACTAAACCGGTTGCAGGAGGTGGATCTTCCGGCTAAACTTGTTCCTATGCGTTCTTACCACTGGCTCCGTCATGTTCTTCATGCCACTCAGAAAGGTCGACGGTAGTTGGAAAAGGTCAGTACTAGCTGCCTTCGCTCATGTCAAACACTGACGATGTCAGGAAATTAGCAGCAATCGACTTCTTCGGAGCGTTCCTGGCTCTCGCTGGGTCTGCATTGCTCGTAGTATGTTGCGCGACATCAATCAGTCAACCATCCTGGCCAACGCTAACCATCCTAGCTCGCCTTGACATGGGCTGGGGGAGAGTACGCTTGGGGATCGGCGCATGTCATCGCAACACTGGTAGTTGGCATTGCAGTCTCAGCTATCTTTGTCGCGTGGCAATGGAAAGGCACCAGCGTGCCATTGATACCGAGTAGGTTTGCCCCAGGCAACAGGCAAGCCTTCGTGCTGACTCATACCAGTGACCATCTTCACATCCAAAGTCGTCAACGGTGCCGCGCTAACCATGTTCGTGAACGGCTGGAACTTTCTCGTCCAGGTCTACTACATTCCTTCATTCTACCAATTGGTCTATGGCTACTCAGCCGTGAAATCCGGAGCACTACTTCTCCCCATCACGCTCACACAAAGTAAGACAAAGTATCTCATCCACATCGGTTCGTGTCTGACTCTCACATAAGCTCTCTTCAGTACCCTGTCAGGTCTTATTGTACACTGGACCGGTCGTTACAGAGAGTGCCTACTGGTAGGCTGGGCGATATGGGCGATTGGCTTGGGCCTGATATCGACACTCGATAACCCATCTCTCGGAAAGCAGATAGGCTATGGCCTGCTCGCTGGTCTTGGTCTTGGCAACACACTGCAACCCTCACTCATCGCTGTTCAAGCGGGGGTAGAGCGCAAACACATGGCTGTCGTCACCTCGACGCGCAACTTCGTGCGCAATCTTGGCGGCACCCTTGGCCTCGCGATCTCAGGCACTGTGATCAACAACGCGGTTCGATCATCATTGGTTCCGTACGGGCTTTCGAAGCCAGAAATCCGGCTGTTGCTGGATTCGCCAGACATGTTTCAGGAGTCGGTCGGCCAAGAGCGTACCGATCTCGTCAGAGCTGCACTTGCAGCAGCGTATCAGCAGGGCTTCCGGATTGTTTTCATCGTCGGCGCAGTGCTTAATGCGCTTGCATTCATCGCTGCTTGGTTCTTGATGCCTCAGGTGGAGTTGAGCAGAAAGGACGATGCTCAACTCAAAGAGGAAGGCAAGAACAGAGACAAGGAAAAGCGCGGCACAACTTCCCCTGCATAAAAGTTTTGATCAGGAGTGTCAGAAGGAGCGGCGAGACGCATGATACAACACAATGAGCCAATTTTCGGACATTTGACATCCAACAACGAATGCAACTACCGACGACGCAGGATGGATGCCGGGTAAACCAATAGATTGCCATCCATAGAGTCATGATTACTATACACCCCAGCAAACCGGCCCCACATCGAAGAAGTACACTAATACCCCGCGCATTTACTATAAGTGCTTGTTTCGTTGTCAAGAATAGATAGTAACCGGGTAACGAAGCTTAATTGCACATTAATTCTATAATGTCATTCAAAACCATAGTGCTATATCAGTCGACCACCTCTCCAAACATGAGTGGCATCGTGATATTTCACTGAGACTGTCTGAAAACCGCAAGCATGCTCACATCTACTCTCATCGCTCTCGCACTGGCTGCAACCGGTCTCGCACAAGCACCAGAAGGCTACCGTACGGTGTACATGACATCGGCGCAAGATACCAAATTCGTCGTTGTACCAAAGTCACGAGCCGCAGGAGCAACACTCGTGGTGTAAGAGACATGTCTCTTTCTCCTTCTAATACCGATGGGTTTTGCTAACCTATGTATCAGGCAAACCCTCACGTCTACACCAGCGCAATCATGGTACATCAAGTCGCCTAACAACGCTACCTCCATCCAGCTCGCATCCACAACACTCTGCATGGATGCAGGGCCGAAGTCTGGCTGGAAAGATATGGCCAACATCTACCTCCGCGAATGCGTTACTGGAAGCGAACAGCAGACCTGGAACGCCATGGCTGATGGACGTATTGCTCTTGCTACTAGCAGCGGAACGCAGCAATGTGTCGATCTACAGTATCTGCGTGCTGTGCAGAATAACCCGGTCGGGCTTTATAACTGTGCAGGGCTGGGGAACACCGGGGCGGCTGACAAGGGGATTAACTGGCCTCTGAAGAATGCTACAGTTGTGTAGGCGAAATGAAGGGTGATTCTTGTAGCATCTGATGTAGCATAGAGGGTCGAAGATCTACTCGACTCAATCATCAATGGCATGTTCAGCGTTGGACATAATCGTTTTGCTGATCCAATTTGGATGTACGTTCTTTCTCCAGGGATTCGATGGTCTCTTGTCATTGAACGGGCTGGCAGGTTCATCAGGCGGACGGCCAAATGCAACATTGTGTGGAACTGACGCCGGCCTGGTCGTCGATGTCGAGAAAATGCATCCGCAATCAGCCAGGAGATGGGGTAAATGCCGTGAATGTGTCATAGTGTCGGAGGGTCGTGAGAACGGACGGAGGGTTGCAGACCAGCCAAGGCGACCTCGGGAAGACGGCGGGGCTGCGCACGAGCCCTCTGTTCCACCTCAGCTTCCGGATGTTCAGTCCGTCCTGAACTTACATCCGGACTGTCCTCAATGTATATGCATGGCATGACTAGAAAGCTACATCGCTCTAAAATCACACCTGATAAGCGCTCAATCGAAATGATCGCGATACCCTCAACAACTCCACCCTTATCGAGGCTGCCACCCTGTTACGTCACAACTCAGCCGCAATCACGGGCACCCACACAACGCATGCGCCGAAAACTATGTATAGATTCAGAGTTTCGTAAGCTATTGAGAGTCTCCTGAGCCAAATGCTTACACATCAGCGCCCATAGTATGACACGGTAGACAAATGCTTGAACTGCAAAATCGCGCGCCCATCCTCCAACGCCAAACCGCGGAACCTCTCCATGACCATGTCCTTCATTCGCTCCGCCTTTTCGCCCTGCAAATGGTAGCCATACCTGTTCCCTGTGCTATCGTTGCACCAGTTCCACAGCGCCTCCACGCTCTCGAGCGTACGCGTGCCAAAACCGCGCGATACTTTCACATCGCCAAACCCAGCGGCGCTTAGATCGCGCTGCATCTCCGGCAGGGTCGAAGGCCATATAAAATTGTCAATAGGCTCGCCGAGTTCTGCTAAGACGTCGTCGCGGACGTCTTGGATGGGTAGATGGAATGCGCCGTCCTGAGTCGCGAGACCAATAGCAGTGCCGGGCTTGGCTAAAGTGGCGGCTTGAGCGAGGAAGAGAGGTTTGTCGCTGAACCAATGGTATGACATGTTGCAGTGAATGGCATCGAACTTCTGTCCTGCGAACATGGAAAGATCGTGCACGTCGGCGATGTGAAGCTCTACGTAAGGCTTGAGCTCCGGATGTTCCTCCAAAGCCTCTCGCGCCCGCTTGATGCTGTATTTGTCTAGATCAAACCCCACGACTTTCCCAGTCGGGCCTACAATATGGGCAATGTCGAGAACGTCGCTTCCGGGACCACATGCAGCCACGAGGACGTGTTGGCCTTTGGAGATGTTCATCATCTCTGTCAGAGCATGGCCGTAGCCGCGCTGCATCGTGTTCGTGCGGCTGTAGCGATCTGCTGTTGTTTCGGTGGCTGTGCCCCATTTCGTGGGTTCTTCGGCTTGGGTAGCGAGGACGGACATGATGAATGAGAATGTAGACAGTTCTAAGCAGATGGAAATGGTGATGATTTGGGATTGAAGTTGCAACGGCATGTCCGGAAGCGTCGAGTACTGTGAAGTTATATGCGTAGGGTATGCTGCGATAAGCACTTACGGGAGAGCAATTGGCTGGCACTTCGTACGAGCCGGCAGATCCTATCGACCTCTACTGCGTGGTGTATACCGAGCGGGGGAGGCCCGAGGATATGCCGTCTCTTGGATCTTCAGTCTGACAGCAACGTCATCCAGATATAGCCGCTTTTAATGCTCTCTTGTAAAAGACCGCAATGGGGCCCGTACAGCTATACACGCCAAGCTTTCGGGTAAGGGGAGGGCTATATACAAGAAGCGGCCTCGGTGTCTCTTTCGCCACCACTCTCGCAATACATACGTGTTTTAGACCTATCGATTGCCACAGTTTCAGAAGGACTGCGATGGCTGAGGCATTGGCTTCGGCAATTAAGGTTGAGCAGCCCAAGACGTATCGGACAAAGCGTTCCGTGGGGTCTCCCAGCCCAACTACGTTGACATGTGCTTTTTACAGATAGAGTTTGCACTAGTGTGGGACGGCTATATGCCATATCCAACCTTCTTCTCGATATTTGAAACGCGCTGGATTGCAGAGCTTATACTAGTTCGGCGCCTTGAGTTTATTACATATCAACGTCAGTTCTTGTTAAGGCATTTCTCAAACATCTCACTGAGTGATGGGAATAAACCAGCGGATGCATGCTGATATTGTCGCGCATGAGTACAAAATCAACTGTCTTGAGAAAAGATGCTAGCCCGATAAGAACATTTACGTTCACTCTGACGATTAGACTCCAGACCAAAGCGCCAGTAAAGTGTCTCCATGAATATCTCTAAGCTACTCGACCCCAAAACGCCGAGATCATCTTCGCCACCGACGCCGAGATCTATCGCTACCTTCGCCGAGATATTGATCACGGCTTGTCAATCAATAACACCGTCGCCCAGTAAATAAGGTTGTGTACTACTTTCATAACTCTTCTCACCACTCCGAAATTCTTACCTTCTCACTCCAATCGAGGGTGGATCTGGTTGCTGAGCCAAACAAAGACGCGTGAGTTCATCAGCGAACACATGAGATCCATCATCGTTGTTGTACGGAGCCCATAAGCCGTCGAAAAGAAGAGAACTAAAAGTCATTGGTATCCTTCTTCGATGTTGCGGATCCGAACGCGACATGTAAGGATAAGATTTACATACACTGTCTTTTGTATTTCAACTCCATCGGTATTGATAAGACATCGGGGCCAGGAGTATGCCCGTTCGTGTACTGCAGGAGTCGCTTCCATGATACTACCTAGGCATTCACTCACACCAAGAAACATAATGCTAATGTTATCAACATCATGCACGCACAAGGCTCCGTCTCGATTGTTAGCATCGTAACAAACACCACAAACGCTGTTTACAAACAAACAACTCACCTTTAAGTCTAAGTACAAATCATCCTATCGTACTCAAGACTCACACCACTAACCCCCATTACAAAACCAAAACCGAACCAAAAAACCAGCATGTCGCTAATCTCCATCATCAAAAACCTAGTAGACTCCGTATCCTACAATTGGAACTGCCACCAATGCGGTAGCAATAATGTGGCGAAGGAGCACCCAGCTCAATGCGCCTCGTGCTCGCATTTCCATTGCTGGAAGTGTGAAAACATCATTAACTAATCTGGGAATGATGTCCACTTAATCTACTTCATTTGCTGTCACAAAATTACATCATAACCAGTCTCTCCATATGCTAGCTGCGAATACAATCAGGATGTTACTTGCGCTCAAAGAACCTTGTCTGGAAGACATGTGAATGCAAATGTTTGTACATGAACCACATAGCGACAACTCTTTGCATTAGTCTCGCACAATGCGCGCACACTTTATGAAGCAATACTAGGTATAAAGCGGTGTACTCAATCGAAGTGATACAATGTTCTTGACATCTTTTAGTCTGACGTACCCGGTTCTATAAAAGAGAAGTTCTCACAACCCTCGAAGCCTTCTCTCTCTATACAGCCATACTTGATCTACCGTTGTCACTTACTAAATGCACATTTACCTGGTACTCTCAAGTCATCATCGCTTTCTTACTTCCCCACGAAGAAACGGCTTGCGCTTTTGCTTCGCCAACAACACCCTCCACTATGCTCATTTGGAACAATCCACTTATCAGGCTACTTGCCGGTTTAACCTGTATCTCAGCAGCTCCTATGGAAACCTCGGCCGGTAAAAGCACTTCGATAGCGGCACATAACACTAGAGATGTAAGTGCTTCATCTTAGTCGACACGACTGCAAATAACCTTTACTAATCACAAGGTTTAATAGGCCCCTCAGTTCTCCCTCCAGCTTCTATACAGCGTCTGGGATGAGGATAAATACCTCTACATCGCCCAACGAGGGAAGCAAGGAATAGCATATGGACCGTGTGGGGGCGACGTAAAGAACAATTCCTTTGAGTTAATCCATTATACAGAATTAGGCAAAGACTCCCGTCCCAACGCCATCGATCATCCTCCGTTTCCCAGCAAAGAAGTAAGTAAACCGTCCTCTAACTCTTTGACATATGCTGACCTCGGATGTTCTTGCAGGTCTCATTCCCTATCGACGTACCCGGCAAAAAGGACTGCCGTTACGAAGGCAATGGCGTCGACGCTGGCCAGATTCGATGCGGAGATGAGGCTGTCGGGAAGTGTGGAGAAGACCCACAGTACGATGAGCCTACGATCAGGTGTTCATGGGGGACAAAGTACCATCGCGGATATGTCTGCGAGTTCTGAGTACCCGTAGACTTGAGTTTGGGCGTTCCGGAATGGATAGTTGGGAGGCAAGAGAGACGTATAGTGGACTGCAGTCATGTGACGAATCCACTGGAGAGGCGTCGCTTATTGTGTTCATATGATGGCGGATGTTAATGTAGACAGCACACGAGTCTTAGTGTTATTGGAAGATTGTGCGCATCGATCGTGATTGCTGCTCTGGTGATTGCTCCTCGTAACGAGTAGCCGATGTTTCGTCGTCGTACATCTAGAAACGTGGTGCTGATACTGTGAAGGGCGACATGCTGGTGGCTACACGTTGGCAAGCGCGAGACCGGAATGCGGACGAAAGGATACTGTGGCCCTGTATGGGATGTGGCGAATGGCAAACGGAAATGAATGGACCGGGCCGCAAGGAGTATCATATCTGCAGCGAAAACATGTTTGCGGTAGTCAGGTCACGCCGGAAAGAGTGAAGTAGTCCGGGTAGCTGTGATACCATTACTTCTGACACGTCGTGCAATCTTGGCGTCACTTCGGAGTTGTGTATATGGTACAACATGGTGAAGTAGCAATACTTTCGATGCTTGCTGTGCCGGCTACGCGATCTGGTAAACAGGTCCTCTTACGGCCTCCTACTACATATCAGAAGGCAGGTGGTAAGATGTCCACGGCTGGCTGTCATCTAACACAGCAACTTCGCGGAAGCCGAGATGATGTTCTACCCTTTTCTCTTCCTCTGGGCCAGTCGCTCCCTCGCAATGCCGGCTAGCACCACCGAAGTGTCGCATTCGATAGACGACACAAACCAATACACGATCCTGGACGAGCTTGACATACCATTGCGATTATCAGCCGTGCCAGGCATCGTCCCTAGTAGCGGGGAACGGATTTGGAAAAGAGATATCGGTAACAACACAAGGGTCAGGACCGAAGCACCCAGCAACCCAAGCGCCCCAGACAATGCCACGCAAGTCCAGCAAACGACAGCCAAAGATCAATTTACAGCTCTCGCGGAAATCATCCTGTTCCCAAGGACTTGCGAAATCGATCAGCAGTACCAAGTCCTCGCGATGGCCGAAATGTTCCTAAACGTCGGTGTCGTTCAAGCTGATCTGGAAGGGGGCATACGCCGGAGCTCGTTCATGTGGGGCGAAGATGTTCCGGGCAAAGAGTATATAACCACATGGATGTATGTGGATATACTTGACGATGGGCCATTGGTGACGTCCAATCTGATAGAAAACATGTTCTATCTGATGATATATGATGAATCCTGCTATGCTACACCAGGCCAGACCAGAGGCGGCAGACTGCGGGCGGTGCATGCGCGTACGGGTAGGGAGCTTGCCAATGTAGTCATAAACGCGGTGAACTCTAGAGACGCGTAGTATTAGGCGATGGATCGCATGGAATGGGAAGGCACTTTAATCCTATTTCACCTTCAAAGCTTTCATATGCGTATCCGGATCCGCGTCCACAACATACTCGTCCAATTGGACCAAGCCCAGCAGAGCCTCGTCGTCGACAACGTGTGTCATTGCTGGTCTCTTTTCTGTTTGCTGGCTACGAGCTGCCTTCAGCTTCAAGATTGTCTCTTCATTGTATTTCCTGAAAGCCTTGGGGTTCTTCTTCTCCCTGTGCGGATCATGCGACTCGCTCTTGAACTGATATCCTCTAACTCGCGGCCCTTGGCCAGACTTCTCGGGAAGCGTAGGTTCGTAATGGGCCTCGAAAGCGGCAATATCATCGTCGAAGGTACCCGCTTCGATGGAGGCACGAATGCCGGCGAAGAAGGCCGAGAGAATAGCGTGGTTGTGTAGCTGTATGAGTACCCAGCCAAGCATTTCCTTGGCGGCAAGCAGGTGCTGGAGGAAGGCGCGATGATGCTTTGTGCACGCGTAGCATGTGCAGCCTTCGGATAGCGGGGTAACGGATAAAGCATGCTCACCGCTCCACATGTCGATGCCCAGAGAGCGGCGCGCGCTTGTGTTGCCGTCTCCGACAGGCGCTGGGAAGGTGAAGTCGAGGACGATACCCGCGTCGGTCGCGTCGGCGAGGAAGGGCACGGTGAAGACGTCCACGCCCATGCGCACATGGCGGAGAAGTTCCTGTGGGCTGGCAGGGACGTGGAAGGATAGTCGTGGGAGGTGATATAGCTGGTCGGGTAGGTTGTCGAGTAGATAGGCGTCGTAGATGGCGAGGCCGCTGATCTTGTCCACCATATCGTCTAGCAGGTGATCCAGATACCATGACTGTAGGTCGCGCTCGATGGGCAGGATGGGCGCAAAGATGCTCCATGCTTTCTCGCCCTCGTCGACAGTACCCTGCTTGGCTACCATGTCACGCAGCCACACCTCGGTCCTGTCGCTCATCCGGTCTTTCCGCTTGAGACTGATGGCCTCCTGCCCGACTGGTATATCACCCAATCCCACCACGATATCTGGTTGTAGCTTGCGTGCGGCGGCGGCATAGTACTCGGAGCTGAGAGTCGTGAAGCCGACCGACGTCAGGAGGCGTATCTCGGTGTCTGTATTCCCGTGAGGGCTGGCTATGGGCGGATTGCGACGCGCACCCAGGACGAGGAGCGTGTCTTCGGGGAGGGCGATGAACTTGCGCAACGGCTCAGGCACGTCATACTGGAAGACTGGCGGAGTCTTGTGCGGGCGCTTCTCGACGACTGCATGCTGTTAACGGTGCTTGGTGGCACATATGACGGAGGGTACGCACAGTCCTCGAGCGCGACGTAGACCCCGCCAACGTCGGCGCTCCGTCGGAAGTTGTCCTGCGATACATGGGGTATGACGCCTCTGGATGTGTTGCCAATAAAGGCGGGTGTAAGGATACTCTTGCGTCCCGGGAACGACAGGCGGCCGAGTCGCGGCGCAAGCGAGCCTGACGTCTTGAGGAGCGTGAAATCCAGCATTTCAGCCGGCAGTTGACCAAGTTTCCTCGTCGAGACCCCGTCCGACATGGTAACACTGAAGATCTGACTGTTCAATGTCTAAAGCTTTCTCTCGGCCCACACATCAAGCAATAGCTGTCGTATACTACCCCGAATGTCGTTGCCTATGGTGGGGCGTCCATGTTCCTGCCGACTCATCGTCGAAAATGTGGATGCGTGCACGTGCAAGCGTGTCAAACCGCGTCAGGCGTCCGACTACCTCTGAATTCTACATCTGTCCTCAGTGTTCCTATAACATAATGGCGGAATCCTCTTATTGTCGCATCAGACGTAGTCATGGATCGCTGAAGCCACCTTCCACAGCGATTGCCCATGTCTTCACCAATGACCAAGCACGACCACGATGAGCCACCTCGCCGGACTCTACGCGACCCTACCACGAGAAAACGATATCAGAACCCATTAGTCGTGTTCGTTGTAGTTCTCATCGCTTTCCTGGGCTTCTACCGCATCTACAGCCCTTCCGCTACCATAAGCTCACCATCACCTCACGACAATGACGTCGATATTCAGGTCGTCGAGACTTACAATGAAGACCAACTTCAGGAGGTTGCTGCCTTGATGGACGAAATCTACACCATGCTAGCAAATGCCTCGTTCATTCCGCATGACTCTATCAAGCGTGGCCCACACCAAATCAATTCTACAGCCAGTCCCTGTAGGCGCGATGCAGCCGACCTGCGCTTAATGAAGATCCTCCCATATGTCGACGCCCCATTACTCGACGATGACCATTGGTTATGGGGTGGCACTTTTTTCGATTTCCGGGTAGATAAATTCTTGGGCTACGGCTGTGATCCTGACGAAGCAGACAAAGACCCTTCGTTCCTCATGCGGCCAGGAACGGTCCACTTAACCAATGGCGGCTGGGATGGCTGGGATCTCTACAGAAGTTGGCAACTCCAATATGACACTAGGAAGAATGCAATTAGGGTCTATGAAGGAGAGGAGAGAAGTGATTACCAGCCACAAGTCAATGGGTGTTTGGTTCAATTCCGAGATCCATACAAGAGCGAACAGTACAGATCTGGTCACAGATGGGAAGACACCCCTGTCATTGGAGCGATTAACTCAACGGGAATTCTCTCGGTGAACAGACACAGCCGTGATTGGACGAGATGGACCGATGCGCCAACCTTCTTGAGGAGGATCAGAGACGCATATCGGAGCACAGCATGGACCCCATGGGTGGCCGCGAACCCCGCTGACCGACCCGCTGATCCGCGCGTCCTTCCGCCGTCCCACAACATCACATCATCGCTTCTGATCAAGAACGGTTGGCCCGAAAAGCTCGACATCGATCAGTTTCGGGCTGACTTCATCCGGGCGCAGCACAAGCCGTCAGGACGAGGCTGGGCCGAAGGTGCTTTCCAACAGATTAGAACCTACCAGGATGATCCAGATGATCCAGCCAACATCTACTATTCCAAGAGAATTCTACAACGATATCAGGATCATAAGCTTGACGAGCAGATCGAATACTCCACTGGAGAATTGAACAGGATGAGACTGGAGGCGGAAAGAGCAAAGAATAGAATCGATCAACACGACAAGGATTACGAAGAAGCGAAACGGCAAATACAGCGGCTGTGTCCAGGCGGCATCTGTGTCGAGGAAGAGGATCTCATTCTTTGGGAGTTCAGAGGACTAGAACAGACATATGCAGAGGCACAGCTCAACCCCGACACTAAGACACTGTGTGAACGCCGCCCCTGGAGGCTGGACGAAAGGTTTTATGATAGACATCTGTCGTCAGATCAGCATGCAAGTTGTGTCACCCGACTCAACTTGGAGAGACACTGGTTAGAGTTGGCATATCAACAATCCCGCGCCGATGCCCTCGCTTATTGCGCTCGAAGCAACAAGGATCTCCTCCCCCCTGCCTCATTCGAGACCATCGCGAGTATCTACATTGCCGATTATGAAAGTAGATATTACGGGTGGAAGATCGAGGATATCAAAAAGGCTTTGTCTGGTGACATTGGCGATGAAGCCCTTCTAGAGCTCTGGAGCCGATTAGAGGTTCTGGAGGAGCCTCGTTCTTCTTCTGATGACAGACTGTACGACTAGAAGATATATGGTCCGGGTACCAACATGAAGAGCGATGGTCACTATCACAATGGTAAACGGTAGCATTTGTTCTCACTCTTTTCTCGATTCATATTGCATTCATCTTCACTTCACTTTCTTTCACTTCACCTTACTCGATCACATCACAATAAATGAAACATCGCCAACTTCTTCCTCAATGTTCTAGCAAGCCAGAAGCATTAATGAAAAAGCATAAGGAACACAACAAGTGAATGTTGTGGAGGGCCGCCCCACCTCGCGGCGCTCGATGACTCGCAACCATGCGTCGAAGAGTCTCTCTTCCAAGCCGTGCCCGGGAAAAGCCAGTCGAGAAGGCGATGCTGAAGATTAGCCAGCTGCTGTGAGTTAGTGGGTATATCCCCGGCGGGGTGTGTGGATTGTAGGAGGGAGGCAGGAAACGCTGTTTATATAGTCGGCTGCTGGCCTGCCAAGAGCGGCCGGATGAACCTGTGGGCCCGGATTTCACATGGACTGTGCTCACGCCGGTACCCGTGGTTCTGCCGGCGGTATAGGGACGTGCGGGACGAGGTAAAGGCGAGGTGAAGGGGACTTGCGACAGTCTGGAGTGGTGTGGTGACGTCAAACCTTTTGCAGCGGTCGAGACTCAATACGCGCATGAGCTGTTCCAGCGATGGAGTATGAGAGTCTCTGCCGGTTAGTGGATATTGGGCTACACTATGAGACCAGTGGATGAATGTACAAGTCACGTGCGGGTTTCATGTGCGTCAACTTTCTCGATGTCCCACCTGCCAATCTCGTCAAACGGCATATGATGATGAATTGTCTTATAGTAATCACAGTACAGTGTTTTAAGAGAATGGTAGGCGAAAGCATATGTCTTCAGACTTGATGGTCGTCACATCGCTTCCAAGGTTGTCCTGGGTTGCCCCGCAATTGGCACGCGATCCCACACGACCCCCACGCCAGTACGCGGTTACGACTGCAGACCTCGGGAGTCGCGAAAAAAATCAGCCGCGACCAGTCCTCACTTCATCATGACGAGCCGCTTAGATATCGTCACCAAAGACGCGAAAGCGCTCGTGCCAGGCCGCAAGACATTCTTTGATCTCTCCGGCGAACTGCGAAACCAGATCTACGACCTTGCGCTCGACAAGCAATACCAGCGCGTACCCTTGAACCCGTACTATCTCAACAAACCCGACCCGTACATTGCTCTACTACAGACATGTTCTCAGATATACAAGGAAGCGCGGAGCTACCTCGTAGAAAAGCAGGTCGCTTACGTTCCAGTAATGGCCGGCATGCAGTACGACTACGGGACCGAGCTGAGTGAAGACTACGGCCTGAGCAAAGAGACGACAGACACCATTGCAGCATCACTGACCGACTTCATGGAAGTGCATTTCCACTTGCATATCGACATTCTGCGTGTCTCGATAGACCGCCGGTGGGACGGCAGCGACGACTTCCGTCTTAATGATGCAAACGGAGAAAAATGGAACATAGTCGCCTTGCTCGACACCCTTCACCAAGCCATCAAGAACTATACTCCGCACTCTTGGAACTTATACCTTGAACACGAGCTGGGAAAGCGACGTGCGACGGTCCACCTCGACCATCTACTCTCACTCTGGCCCAGGATCTCACCAGAACACCCTTGCGTCCCTATCGCGGCGATGCGCGACCTCGTCGATCTCATGGCGAAAGACACCATGACTGAATGGCAGATACGGTATTACATCCCGACTGGCCAGGCCGGTGTATCGGTCAGATACGGATGCACGATGGACGACGATATGGCCCACGCGATTCGCGACACGGAACTAGCGCAACTACGCAGTTACGCGAAAACGTGCGGACACGAAAACGTCACCATCATCGCAGAGCTATATGGCGAAAATACCGCGTGGGAGTACGGGGACAAGTCAGACAGCGTGACTAGGCTGCGTAGTCCCGCTACGGATTTCTGGCCAAACTTGCATTTCGACCCTTGGAAATACTCAATGCCGCATCACCAGCATTGGAACAGGTCATATCCCGGTAAGTAAAACACTATTTCGCTTCCTCCTATGAAATCATCTTAGGCCATGATATATTGACCTAAGAAGTATCTACTTCTCAACGTCCAATGACGTGTATGCTGCAACACAAATTCTGCCACTAGGCAGCTCCCTCAAGTTACCCTTATTAATGACATATGCGTAGAAGAAATGCCCATCGAGAACTTTGAAGAAGCCGCCCTGTTAGCCACTCACGAAGATCGCCCGCGCCGGGCAGACTGGATGGAGATGCTGCAGCGGAGGGACGACCAGGCTGAGCTGAGGCGGCGGTACGAGGAACATAGGTCTTGGGGTGTCGGAGCGTCAAGCTGAGAGAGAGCGGCAGGCATCCACCGCCTTTAGAGACGAAGTACAGGCAGAGCAGACATGTACTGCCACGTTGACCTAGAGAGAACCCGAACACCATAGAGCCTACGTTGACGTTAGGCCACTTACGTTGTATGTTTCTATCGTGAGATAGTCTGCAGACCTGTGTAGTTTTGTTCGCGTATGAGGTGCGGCGGATCTTACATAAACTGCTGGACAATGAAAACATCGTCTCTGATTCCATAGCCGGTTGTAGAACTACCTCCAATAGCCCAACTTCGCCACCCTTTCCTTGCCCAGGATATCCGCCAGACTGACCAACTTGAAGCTCGCCTCTTTTGCCGTGCCTCCACCAGCCAACTCATTAGCATCGTCATGCGTGACGAAAAGCCCATTTGGAAAGTCCTTATTCAGCGCATTGCCCACAGCAGCACACCCATCCGTGTTACTAACGTGATCGATGCCCTTTGCCTTGTTGTCAACGATAGTGAACGTCTCCACGTACTCGTGCGGTGGCGCGCGCTCGTAGATCAGATATGCGGAGATGCCCTGCGACGAGACGATGATATAGCCGCCCGGACCTGACTTGGCTGGCACAAGCGTAATGCCCTCGACATCGGCGTGGAGACCGCTTGCGTCGCCTACTTGTGCGATTTGAATACCCGTGTTCGAGCCAGTGGGTTCGGCTTCGTAGCGCCAGATGCCCAGTGGTTCTTCGCCGATGAAGAGGTAGCCGGCGCCTTCGTCCGCGACGCAGCCTTCGACTTGGCCGCCTGAGCCGCCTTGAAATTCGCGGACGAGCGTGGTTTTTAGGGTGCCGTTCGTGGTCGCGCTGAGTTCGTACTGTAGGTATTGCGCATCTTTATTGTTGACGAAGAGGTACTCTTTTCCGGTGGTCGGAGAGCGGTAGTTGCAGGAGCCGTAGGGTTCGTAGTCTTTCGGTAGCGATTGTCTACCACCAGAAATGGTGCTGAGGTAACCTGTGCTGTTTACTTCGACCAGGCTTGGCGATGCATTAGCAGATATTCTAAGAGACCATTGAATGGTACTCACCACATGGTGTTATCACCGCGGCATGCTGCGAATGCGAGATCGACCTTCCGGGAACCGAGAGTGAAGTTGTAGATGACATCGACGTTGTTTGGCTCCTCAGCCGTCAGGTGCTGGAGGAGCCTTCCCTGCAGATCGAAGACACCAAAGCCTTCGCCCTCATCGGATTTTGTTGTGGTAATGATCTTGCTCTGATCTGGTCGAGTGGGGTGGATCCAAATCGCAGGGTCATCGCCGTCTCCGCCGTTTGCATCAGTCTCGAACTTTGCGGTGACCGCGACGAACGAGCAGTCTGGGCCAGTCCACCCATCTTTGCACTTGCAGAAATTTGGGCCGGTACACTTGCCATGTCCAGAACAATCGTTTTCGCAGGTGATCTTGGAGCAGTCGCGACCAGTAAAGCCGGCGAAGCAGGAACAGTCCTTGCCTGACGCGAAGCCGTTGTTGGAGCACTTCTTGGTGACGGAGCTTTCGCAGTGCTTGCAAGCCTTGTTCTTGGGACTGTACTGTGTGTTTGCCTTGATACCCATGGATTTGAGCGCGCCGTCCAGAGAAACTACAGCTACCCCGGTATCATCCTCGCCCTCAAAAGCGAAGGCGAATGCGCCAGAGGGGTAGCCAGCAACTGAAGATTGAAGGATGGCAAGCGAACCCTCAATAGAGAGCTCAGAGATACCGCCCAATGAGATGCTTCCCTTCTGCTTGATTTCGGAGTCGTACACATCGATGACCTCGTCGTGGGCTACGAACAGATAGTCGGCGGATGCGCTGTGGTAAGTAGCAAGTCCCGCAACTTCGATGTCCTCAGTAACAGTCTCGATATCGGGTGCTTGGATAGACTCTGACGCCTGGAAAGAGTACAATGGTCGATCTTCGGCCGAAAAGAAGATCCCGCCATTCGCGAACACGGCGCAAGTTTCGCCTTCGATAGCAACGGGGAAAGTTTGAACCTGTGATCTTTGTCAGTACTACTGTCTATGGTCACGATAAAGAGACAAGAGTACCTCCAGGATCTCAACCCGGCTTTTGTTGCCCCGAATCAAGAACTGCACAACCATCTTTTTTCCGAAGAGGAAGATGTAACTCTCACCACTCTTCCCACTACGCCATACGCACGCAGTACTCCAGTCACCCAGCTGTTTCTTGTCATTACTTTTGATCGTGTCCCCACTCTGAGCGTCGAAGACCCTGATCAAAGAATCTGGAGCTGGGATGTTGACGATCAGATCCCTACCGCCGATGTCGTGAACAGCTACAGCAATCTTCGAGCGACCAGTCTTCTGATGCGACTTCTCCGCAAAGCTTGAGGAATTGGAGACAGAGAACGTCCGGAAGCCACCGTCGGCAGCACTTCCATCATTGATAACCAGTAAAGGCGACTTGCCGTAGACGAAGTTGGTATTGTCGCCCTCGAATCCAGTAGCGGCTGCGACGAGTGTGACGTTGGCGTTCTGAGCTGCGACGAACGGTGTGACCACACTCGCCCATACGAGGCATCGCGTGAACGTTTTCATCTTGTGGCGGACGTTGTCAAGATCAATGAGGGCGGCCTGACTCCATGAACATGGTCGTCGAGGCCGTCTTATATCCCAACATGTCTCCAAGTAATGGGCTGAACCTAGACTTCCCGCTGATCCATGTGCATATGCAGTCCATGTCGTTAAAGCCCTTCGGGGCTCCGATGTTTCGAGGAATAATCCACAAAACTACGCGATATTGTCGTTAGGGGCGCGATGCATGGTGTGCCTGCTGCTTTGGGTTAGGTCGGGATGGCTGAGCGGCCAATAACGATGTCTGCTATTGAAACGTGAGACGGCCGGGCAAGATTCGAGGCCGGGATCAACATGAGGAGAACGGAGAAGGATGGAGACCTGGCATGGCTTTGAGGTATGAACATGCACTTGGAGAATTGTGGTGTCATGCCAGGCTTGAGTAGAGGGTGATGGTATGTCTACCAAGTTGCAACCATTGGGGATTGTGTGCCACGTGAAAGGCGATGGGCCCCATCGCGCTTTAGCTTGATCATGATTAGAATTGGTCCTTGTCCTGCGGGTGGACTCTGACACGGATGTAGATGTAGATTAGAAGTTGATGGGTTGATACTTGGGCAGCTTCCAGTACCTGGTCTTCTACTCATATCTCGTCGACATCTCCAGACGCGTTCCGCAGGTGTTGTTTTACATGCAGAGCTGGAAATTCACGTTTCTGGAATGTTTGCTGTGCGTGAATAGAGGCCATTCTTGGTGTACCTCTGCGACATTGAAAGAAGATTGTGAGAACGATGACGCGCGCGCTGCCAAGGCGCAGATCCGCACCCGTGGCACCAACAGACGCGACAGGATAGTGGCACGACCCCGACGACATCGCGCAGCGATTCATCCGAAGACATGCCTGCTGGCAGAACAATCGCGAGTCTCTATACAATTTCTCGGCTACCTACTCACGTTCATCCCAGGTCTCCCACTCTTCCGACGCGCCGCACCCGTCCGCACGATAAGCCATCTCGGCAGTATTCCCCCTATCATCTCTCCACGATCAAGCGCGATGCTTACAAGATGAACACTTGCTTCAAACACACCAGAGCTCGAGTCGCAGGAGATGTAGACGTGCTCGGGCTTCAACTGCCCTCGCCAGATGGGTTGAACAACGTACTCCACCAGGGACATACTGTAGCATGTCTATGCTCGGAACCGGTCGCACGACTTTCGCTACGAATATACCCATCGGTCATGATGATTACCTTGGATGGACATACCTGGCAACACCGACACTTGATCAAGTCGCGGAAGACTGCTCAATTCAGTGAGCCTTCATGGCACGCGTACTGAATTGTAGCTGGCAGATGGAATATGGCAGACTTGAAGGGACGAAACACATGATACAGTGGTCGATAACTCGTCTGAAATCCATATGGAACATTCGAGCCCAAGCCCTCGGCACTCTATACCCTTCCTCCTGTGACGACGCGGCACTCTGGTAGCTCCGAATCGCATGTCCACACGGCGAGAGAACCTTCTCTCAGGCTTGCCACACACTTGAGCATCTCAGGTAACAAAGGACCCCGTGGTCTTGATGCCAACGAGTAGTCATACAGCCCCACCAATTGTATCGACGCGGTGATTGAGTTGATTACTCTCCATTCGCGACCCCGCCTTCTACGCGTTACAGCACGCACGATGCACCCTGGCCATCTGTGCATCCTTAAATTGCCCTTGCGAGATCCAAGAATACAAATTGTCCGGGGAAAGGCACCAAGAATGCTTAGCTATCGGTACATTCGCGATGAATTGAACCACTACCTTTAATTCGTTGCTCGCAAGCTAACCCCGCACTGCACCTTTAGCGCCACGGCTCTTGACCTCATATACCGAAGTATAATCACTTGGCGACGTTGAAATATCCATACGAAGCGCACTACGCCGAGATGCATATGACTGGGATACCATTTTGGGAGCTTAGCTGTGCGACGAAGTGACAGCCTGATCGCGTCCATCAATGAGTTCTCAACTCCCAAGGCGGACCAGATGTCCATCAATCCGTCAGAGATTATCGCATGATCAGTTCCTCATATTGCATGAGCTCATTGTCGGGCTTCTGGAGACTGGGCAATATGCATTGTGTACTTTGCACACAAGCAAGGCCAGGATCGAAGCCGTGAAACAATCCTATAAGTTGGCAGCATCATGTATTCCAGTAACTGTGAGACATCCCACATCCTTCATCCAGCTCACAACCTTCCCTTTCATCATGTTGTCGACTTCGAACCTCGCGGTGTTTCTGGGTGTTTGCGCCTCCCGCGCATCCGCCTGGGTCATTGGAACGGAGCAGTCCGAAACTCACCCAAAGATGACCTGGCAGCGCTGCACAGGCAGCGGTGGCAACAGCTGCACCAACGTCAACGGTGAGATTGTCATTGATGCTAATTGGCGCTGGCTACATTCCGTTGGAGGCTACACCAATTGCTTCGACGGAAACGAGTGGAACACCACGGCGTGTGCGACCAACGCCGCATGTACCAAGAACTGTGCTATCGAAGGCTCAGACTACCGCGGTACCTACGGTATTACGACTTCTGGCAATGCTCTTACTCTCAAGTTCGTTACCAAGAACCAATACTCCACCAACATAGGCTCTCGCACGTACCTCATGAAAGATGCAAACAACTATGAGGTAGGGCAGCGCACCATATCTAGGTATTACACGTACGCTGATCGTTGTTGTTTGCCGTTTAGATGTTCAACCTTATCGGAAACGAATTCACCTTCGACGTCGACAACTCACAGTTGCCATGCGGTCTCAATGGAGCATTGTATTTCGTTTCCATGCCCCAGAAGGGCCATGGTGCACCCGGTGCAAAGTACGGGACTGGTAAGTCACAGGATTCGCCATTCATAGAGCATGAACTGATACATTCCAGGTTACTGTGACGCTCAATGTGCTCGAGACCTGAAGTACATCGATGGCAAAGCCAATGCAGAGGGTTGGCAAGCATCCGAATCTGACCCCAATGCGGGTATTGGCAGAAATGGTGCATGCTGGTGAGTACGTCAGTCTGCTCGGCCTGGCCCATTCTGACGTGACTCAGCACCGAGATGGACATCTGGGAGGCAAACTCAGTCTCCACGGCTGTGACCCCACACTCTTGTCAGCCTGAAGGCTACTCAGTCTGCACAGACGATACGTGTGGTGGAACATACTCGCTCGATCGCTATGCCGGCTCCTGCGATGCGAATGGTTGCGACTTCAACCCATACCGTGTCGGCGCGAGGGACTTTTACGGCAAGGGCAAGTCTGGTGTAGACACATCAAAGAAGGTGACAGTCGTCACACAGTTCTTGGGATCTGGAGGATCGCTCAGCGAGATTAAGCGCTTCTATGTGCAGAACGGCAAAGTCATCGCTAACCCGGAGCCCACAATCCCTGGCATGGTATGTGCTCACGTCACCAAACCAAATGAACTCCATTCTGACAACCGCGCAGACAGGCAACTCGATCACCCAAGAATGGTGCAACACGCAGAAGGAAGTCTTCCAGGAGGAGGTTTACCCCTTCAACGAGTTCGGCGGCATGGAGTCCATGGGTAGGGGTATGAACCTGGGCATGGTACTCGTCATGAGTCTCTGGGACGACCACTACGCCAATATGCTTTGGCTTGACAGCAGCTACCCTACTGATAAGGATCCGGAGCAGCCTGGTGTCGCCCGCGGCGAGTGCGACGTCAACAGCGGCGTGCCAGCCGATGTAGAGTCTGCTAACCCGAATGCGCAAGTCATCTTCTCGAACATCAAGTTCGGGCCCATCGGCAGCACTTTCGCGCAGCCTGCTTGAGCTTATCAAGAAACCTGATCAACATCGGGGGTTCTTTTTATTTCTCCTGGTTCCAGCTCTACGCAGCCTAACCAGTTGTTGCTTGTACATAAATCGGTCCGATCATGTCATTCGCTTCATTATGATCAGAGATACGAAACAATCAACGCTGTACAGTTTTTAATACACTGTAGGGACTAACCATTTTGACGAGAATGCGTGCACTTGACTCTAGCGCTTTCACCTTTGGGAGTGTGTATGCACAGTGAAGTACTGGTTGGGGCACGATAGGCTGCTGTTAGCTCATAGGGAGAATGCCCCTAACTTCTATCCCTCCTTAGCATGTCAAAACATCACCGGAGCGGAGGAAGAACTTCCAAGTCATTTTCCAACCCTCCCGAAGTCCCTTTACAGCACATCACAACCGCAGATTTCACCATGGCTATGGACCTACAGCTCGAAGAAACACCACAACAATCAATTGCGCAAACGGCGTTGGCCATACCAGAGCTCGCGGAAAATATCCTGAACCGTTTGCCGGATGTTCGCGATCTAATTTATGTTCGGGCAACTTCGAAGGCCTTGACGACCATAGTCGACGGCACACCCAGCATCCAACGCCAGTTGTGGCAGCTTCCCACGCCAATCCCAAATGACGAAGACCCACATTACCCTAATTTGCCACAGATTATGTCCACGTATCCCATCACGCTAAGCTACCAGGAGGTGGAATGGGCTCTAGAGGCGAGTCGTCGCATGGAATGGGATGTGTATGACGCAATTGAGGCAGGCGAAGATGAGGTGACCGCTGCCGCGGTGCGAGATCAGCAATGGCAAAGTCTGTGGTATTCGTTCGAGAAACCTAACTATACGTTTCACCTCGATACTATCCTCGAGCAGACACCTCAGCAACAAGCGTTCAAGTGCAACAGTTGCCAGCGTATTCACCCTCCATACGCTGCCTCGGGCTTACATCCAGCTCTCCGCTTCCTACACAACCACGAAATATGCGGTCACGGCTATGGTTCGGAACTGCTCTTTCGTTTCGCTCTTATGAATCTCGGGCGTGCAGACTACCGGATGGGGCCTGCATTGGACGAAAACCTGGGTCGCATGTGTGGTCGCAAAAAATTGTATATTCTAGCGTTGTTTGCTAGGGCTGTGGGCAACGCTTACGAAACCGCAAAGCAACGCGGTATTCTTCAACATTATTTCATGGCGCCCGTGTGCACGAGGCTCATTCTGACTTGCGTCGAAGGTTCAGACCCCGTGGATCTGGGGAATATGATTGTTCGCGATCAAGATGGCATCAAGTTGGGGCAAGTGCTACGCGCTCTTCTGCGATTTTGTGACATGACCTTTACGCGCGGTCGCGCTGAGGTGCTGACTGTCAACGAGGCCTATGTCACCGGTGGAATTTATGCTGAGACATGGAAGGAGGACAAGGCCTATATCGCCCGGCTGTACGATGAGGCACAGGAGGAGTTATCCTGCTTGCAGGAAGGTTATTTGGATGAAGATCAAGCAGCTCGTGGTTGAAGTAACGAATGCGCCTAGAGATCGCAGCGACTGATTCTGTATCTAGAAGCAGGAACCCTCGCGTTATGGATTATGATCTTCTTTATTTCAATATTGAGCGTTCGTCTTGGTAAACCAAATTCTGGTGTCGCATGGTCTAACCAAGTCCGTTTTCACTGAGATATTGACATTAGCGTCACAACGGCAAACACGAGCGTCTGCTTCGTATGGAGTAAACGCAATCTGTTCTCGCATGACCGAATACAAATACTCTCTTGTTCTCTCTTGTCCTGTTCGTGCGTGTCTAACTTGTATCTCTTCTCCCTTATCTTCCCTCATCTGATCCGATCCATAGCTCTCATTGCTGGCAAATCAGCGTACTCTTCGCCCTAGCCTCTTCCCTATTGTTAGCTAGCAGTGCCTACAGCATCTAGCGAAGATGCTTGAAGACCGTGTGGAAGGTGTGACACGTTGCTGGTTTCCGTGCCCATGCGACGACCTAGAGGAGGATCAGTGCGATTGCTGCGCGTGGTAATCGCGTGAGAGGTCTGGCTACCGATGGCGTTGAGTGAGGAGGTATGAGCGGCAGTGGTGACGTAATTGCCATCCGTGGATCCGGTCCGAGGACTAGCGGACTTTGGGTTAGCGCAGTTGGGCTGGATTTCGACCCGGGCAACTCTCCAACTTCTCGACTCCTTCTCGACCACCAACAAACGGTTGCAAGCGGTTCGCATCAAAAAAAAATCAATTTTTCCTGCCTAGATGCTCTACGATAAGATGTCAGAGACTTGTAGTTTGTCGTTTGGTCCCTTGGAGCAAAGAGATTCCCGAGGTCACACTCCAGACTTCGCTTAGTCACAGTTGATTCGTGACCACGCGAACGCCTGATCGTTGGTGTCCCTCTGCAAACCTTTTCCTGTGAGTCTCGTAACTCAAACGCTTGATCTTGAATTTAACCAAGCCCAAACGTTTACTCGACGCGTAGTATGAGCGAGTCTTCAATGTCGTCGCACACAATCAAGTCACCACTGTAACATGTTTGTCCGCTTTGTACAAAACCTCGCTGGCTCCTTCTTTCCTCTATCAAAAACTCTGTTCTCATCATGACCTACCCAAGCATCCACACGCGCCCGGCTACACTGCAAGTTACGGCCACACCTGAGCTCCTCGGCACAATTTTCATCCATCTCAGCATCCTCGATCTACTACGTGTAGAGCGGGTTTGCAAACGATGGCGCGACTGTGTTCGAGATGTACGTGAGATACAGCCAGGCCTTTACAAGCGCGCCTTACCGGTGGAGCCAGGAGATAATCCACACTTCAAGCCTTTGAACGAAGCGACCGCAAAATTGACTTACCGAAGCCTGCCGTTTGGAGAACAGTTGAAAAATACATGCCACAGTCTTGAGCAAGGCGTCAGATCGTTACTGGAGCCTGATGCACCAGTTGGAAAAACCTTTGGCAAAAAAGGTGGGACATTCAGGCTTTACGATTTGCACAGACAAATCTTTACCCCAGCCGTACTCCATCGACTCTCAACGGCCGACGATGCCAGTATATTCATGAGTAATATTAGGGACGTTCATTGCGGCAAGTGTGGCACGTTTCACCTTAGCTTCCGATGGGATAACCTGCACCCATTGCTCCGATTTCTGGAACATATCCCTCAACTTTGTATCGCTGGATCTAATGCGATCATCACTATTCGACTCGGATATCATGGAACACATTATCAAGAGGCCGAACCCCTGTATGAGGTATTTCAGAATGCCATGGACCTCGCAGAACATGTCGAAGTCGTGAAATCTATATGTGCAGATTATCAGTTGACACATGACGTTGGTATTCAGCCGGCGGGGTTCCTGCTTTCAGCGGCACCCGAGTTCACCTATATTCTCCATTCTTGGGGAAAACTGAGGCAATCAGGTCTGCTCATCGGCGACTTCTTGGAAGGGCTCATGTGGTGCAGTCACGCAACGGCCATCAAAGCACAGGCTGGGTTACAACACGAGGTGGCAATGCTCCAGGGGAAGATCAGTTGGGGGTTAGAACTGAACCAAATGGAACAAAATGCGCTTGCAGATGTGCAAGCCAAAATCACGGCGATGGAACAGCGTATGGTGGCGATGGAAGCTTACTCGGCACTTTGGCGACAACAAGCAAGGGGAGGAGACGGAATGACCGGTTGGGTGGAGGAGACGTTCTCCTATGTCGGTTAAATTCACCAAGGGACATGTTTACACAAGCAGTTGCTATTGGTTGTGGAACTGTTTGGATTAATCTGGGTGTTCCGTGAAACGAATAGGGGACTTTACATCACTGTGGTATTATTGAGTATGTGTATTTTGGTAGATCTGTTTCACAATACAGTAGCTCTGAAGTCGGTGTCCGCAGTATATTATACTTACAATTCCTCTCATTCGTGAGAGCTAAAGCTAGCGTCGATTTATAACTAGTAACAGTCTCACTTCGCATGAGACACATTTGTTAGTGTATCGCTCTGGTGGGTATTCTGATGTCATTATGAAGGGAAGTCACTATGAAGAGGAGACTTAGACCTCTGGTCGCAATGTGTGTAGTTATGAGGTCATAGAAACCCGCATTCTGGTTCGCAAGCGAGCCGCGGTTGTCTGCAAACTGTGGGAAGACGTTCTAACATAATCTATGGAGATTATTGCCATTGCTTACTTACCATGCATCCTCAGAAGACGCGTCCATCTCGTGTCATCTCGTTATGACCCAGCGTCTTCCTACAAGCCAGCTTACAACCCTTCGGATGCGACTTCGACAGGAATCGCTTTTCGCAGTTCAGACCGACAAGTAATAATACGCGCACAAAGCTTGAAGAGGTCTCCGAGAAGTTTCGCAAAGTCGAAGTTATGTGTTTCTTTCTGACCCTCCAACAGATAGCGATCGATAGCCGGATCTAGCTTGGCGATGCCATCTATAGCCTGCACCAGACGAACATACATGTCGCTTTCCTGGTAATCAAGGCGCTGATCAAACCCGAACAGTCTTCCACGACATACGGGACAAGTGGCTCTGCCTTTCTTCAGGTGTTTCTTGAGACAGATGATACCGTGAACGTGGCCGCAGGGAGTACGGACAGCTGGCTCGGTTCTGTTCGAATGCGAGAAAGACACTCTGTAATCGTAATAATAGGCATAGCAGCGGCGGTCGGTCTCATCACTCGCTGCCATTGCTTCTTCGGTACAAGGTGTGGTGAAGTCCGATACCGCTGGGTAGATTGGTGGTCGTTTACTAGGTGAGACCTCCCTGCTCGTGTCAGAGTCGGGGTCGTTGTCTTGGGAGTCGGATGGTACGATGCCCTCCATATTGTCGTTGTCTTCATCAGCATTTTGATCGTTCTCGTCTTCTGTGGCCTCGTTGTCATTCCCGTCATAAGATGAAGTTTCGCTGAGAGCAACGCTTCGCTCATCCAGCACTGCATCCAACTCACCAATGAACCCTGCTTGCTTGTACCGACAACAGGTCAAGTATGAAACCATACCGGTGAAAAGGTACCACTCCAGACACGCAGAGCTTCGACCTCCTTGTTCATCGAGGTACTCTTTTTGCATCCGATCGCTCAGGCCCTTGCGTAAGCTTTCATATTCCAATGTAAGCTCACGATAATGCCCTTCGATTGGATACTGCTCTTTGCCTTTAGCTTGACGTTGCTTTAGCCATAGTATTCGGGCCGCGAGGTAGGGGTTTGCGATGGACTCCTTGAATGTGTCGATGTCTAAATTGAAACGGGGAGGGTCAATAAGCTTGAAAAAGGGCTGACCTTCGGCGCGATACGCCAATGTCCGAGCGAACAGTGCTGCATCTGCAGTGTAGACTCGATAGTAGTCTCTGGTCCTTTCCCGGTGCAACATCGGCCATCCGTCAGAGAGAGAAGCGATCTCCGTTCTCACTTCAGATGAGTAATTAGACGCTAAACCTTGATCTAGATTGTCTAAAGAGACATGATTAGCCTGGAAACAGGTGTACAAAGTCAGTACATGCATTGCATTCATTTGGCTTCGGGAATTGACTAACCACGAATGTAAGCAACGGTTGAGCTTCTGCCGTGTGTACTGAGTCAAGATCAAGGAGTTGCAGTCCAACGTGCTGCAAAACTTCGAACAATACTCGGTTGATGCGGGTTGTTGAATGGTCTAACAGTTTGAGATGTTCTTCGAATTCTATTCGCGCGGGGACATCCATCGTGTTCATTGACTCTGGTTCAACACAAGAGCTTGATTGAGATGCGTGGATGGGGCAGATGTATAAGGTCTGGATTGCTATTCTGTACCATTTGTCGATCAAGCGGTCAGCGATCTAGCAAACTCGTGGTTTGATGGCACCGAAAAAGGACCTAAACATGAAAGTAACTTTCAGAGAATACCCACTCTTGAGTGGAGTGATGAAACTACATAGTTATCGAGCTGAGGTAGCTAAGCAGCCTCTGTGAAATACAAAATCTCATGTGAACACTCTGGTAGAATACCCCATCGCCAAACACTGCATTTTGAGTTCGTGATTGTTCGGTCCTTGTAGCCTGGCGGTTTCAACCTTGCTCAGAAAGTGCCGAAACCCAGGTACAGGCCAGGAAACATGTTGATCATGGCAATCGCGCCTACGAAGCTGGGAAGCTGTACCGAGTCTCACATTCGTCGATAGTCGTCGACATCCTGATACCAAAGCTTGAAACCGGGTGGGAACGATGAAATCGCAGCATGAAGTGTGCTGGTTGCTATACGATAGATGGTCATAAGGCGTCGATGATTTCAGCGGTCATGGCAAGACCAACGGCGCGTCTGCTGGTGATGAGGCAAGTGCCGGTCAAACAAGATACCAGTATTTGTAAATCATTGCAAGGATACTGCAAGGATGCAATAGACCAAATGTAGTGGAAGTACTGCCCGGGCACAATCGGAGAACGCCAGCGCACCTCGTGACGACACGCCCGGGTTTGAGGGTCGCATGATCTGGTGTCGCATAAGTATTGGCTGCACCCTTCGCCGGATGATGAT